CGTATTGTTAGCCGACACTGGGCAGCTTGTACATAACTGAATAAGTAGAGTTGTTTAAACATTTGTTTAACAACAAATAAAAGCTTGGAATGGTCTATTCTTTCAATGGGGTGTGTGTCTGTGAGCCAGACTTTTTCACATATTTAAGAAGGTAAATCTGTGGATAATCTAACAATCGATAACTTCTTTAGATTGTAAATCTTTGGATAATCTAACAATCGATAACTTCTTTAGATTGTAAATCTGTGGATAATCTAACAATCGATAACTTCTTTAGATTGTAAATCTGTGGATAATCTAACAATCGATAACTTCTTTAGATTGTAAATCTGTGGATAATCTAACAATCGATAACTTCTTTAGATTGTAAATCTTTGGATAATCGTAAGTCTCATCCAATTCTATGAAGGTATATCTCTCGATAATATTTCTGTCATATCATTAAAAGCTTACGATTTGTCAAATTTTTAGAAAATACGTTACAAATGTTTTCACATCTTTTGAAGTATCGCTTTGGATAATCTCAACATTAATAAATAGTCAACCTCTGGGTTATTTCGTGTTCAGTTAAATCCTCAGGCGGTAAAACTCTTGATATACGTCATTACTTGAAGCTGAAGGTTAGTTATTAAGCCACTGACTGCTGATTCGCCGTTGTTTAAGATACGGTCCGCCTCCGGCAGTTGGATGTGAGTATGCAGGATAGGGTGTACGCATTACAAAAAATTTCGCGCGCGTTTAGAGCAGCCGCAGTCAATGGGTTAATTTGCGAAAAAGAAATCATGCTGCTATTATAGCGTGCGGTCTACCGCAGTATCTGTAGTCTACCGGAACTTTTACACTATAAAAAAGCATATAAAGATGTTGAATAATAGTAGTCTACCTGGGATATTTACACTGTCCGCACGCTATAGTAGCACCGAGCTGTTTCAATCACATTTGCTAAGAAAAGATGCAGATGATTTATTTGTGGCATTTGTAAATGATTTACGAAGTGTATATCGTTAAAGGATTTAAATGTAAATCATTTGTTAAGGATGTGGTACGAAAAAGTTCCGGTAGATCGCACGCTATAGTGTAAAAGTCTCGGTAGATCGCACGCTATAGTGTAAAATTCCTCGGTAGACCGCACGCTATAGTGTAAAAGTCTCGGTAGATCGCACGCTATAGTGTAAAAGTCCCGGTAGACCGCACGCTATAGTGTAAAAGTCTCGGTAGACCGCACGCTATAGTGTAAAAGTCCAGATAGACGGGTAATATGTTTCGATCTTAGGCCTACATCACACACACAACTGAATGGTACAGGGATGACGATAACAACAGACAATGGAACAGACGCTCATATATTTAAACCAACGCCAGTCACGTGGACATCAACGATGACTTATATTATGTAATAAAAAAAGGACCAAAATATTAGAAAAGA